TAGAACCTAGTGTACTTGAACATGTAAGTATAGAACCTAGTGTACTTGAACATGTAAGTATAGAACCTAGTGTACTTGAACATGTAAGTATAGAACCTAGTGTACTTGAATATGTAAGTAGAGATCCTAGTGCTCTGGTTTTGGTATCTCCAATGGTACACTTGTGAGTTCTAATAGATTATGGACTATTGTGATCAGTGGTTTATTTCCATAGGAGAATATACAACCTGAACTAACTGCTGTGGACTCGAACGTTAATTACCAGCTTCGTTTATCGGATCAACGTAGAGAATAGATAGCTTTCCATAATGAGGCCTAAATATTTGTATTTACATCAACAGGAAGTTTATTACGAAAGGCAGAATTCGAAAACTTGGCAAGTAAACTGCTCATACATTCTGGGAAAAGCCGTCCCCAATTCTTAGACTTCTCTTGTTTGACTAAATATTGGAGTTTGACCGTCCAACTTACAACGACCCACGAGAGTTAAATTCCCTGCGGTGGAAACAGCAGATAGCCCATTGTGTCTTTGCTAAACCAAACAAACTGACAATATCAAAATTCTAGCCAAGCATATATCGAATCTTGAAATACTGATTAAAGAAAGTTTACCAAAATTGATCGAAAACTCGAGGAAATCATGAGTTCTTTTCAACTATATTTATTTAAACCTTAAAATCTGGGATTCAACCATGTTCCAGTTCATCTAAATGTCAATATAACGTTTTCCACTTAGCAGTTACTCATTATTACTTATCCTTCTTTTTACCAATATTTGTCGTTTTCTGGTCAGAAAAGTCAATTTCGTTTTTCTGTGTTATTTCCGGTTTTGAAGCATAACAAAGTAATGTATAATACTATGAAAACATCAAGAGTTGATCCCATTCCTACTAGTACCGGTAACTTAAAAGTTGAATTATGTTTCAAGTGCAATAAATTCGGACGATATGACATGAATACGATTGGATATCCATTGAAAGAAAGTTATCATCGAAATAGCAACAACGAAAGTTTTCAAAGAAAAACCAAGAATACTGGAACCAAAAACAACCTTCTTGTTCGTCGAAAGCAAAAATTGCTGTTGTTTGAGATGCTAGAGATGCTGAAGATAATTCATTCTTCACTTTGTCATCTTGTGCACTTGATTTGTTACTGCTCTTCACTTTGTCATCTTGTACACTTGGTTTGTTACTCCTCTTCACTTTGTCATCTTGTACACTTGG